TGAGAATTTAAATAATGTGAAAGGCAATGTTTTAAAATTGTGAAAAAGAAAGACAAAGAACTAAAGAGAAGTAAGGAAGAATTATGAATTAAACTTCTTTATAAGATATATCTATATTATTACAGACTAACTATGAAAATTTGTTATTAGGAAAGGTGAAACGTGAAATAAGAAAAGAGATGAGTGTTTTATATAATAATTCTGAAATATTAAAAGAAACATAATATTGATTGAGGAGTATAGAAGATAGTAGTATAAAGAAGTGGATAGGGAATATAAAAAAGGTTGTGATATGTAGAATAAGAAATGTATGTAAATTTGGGTTTAGGTAGTAATATTTTATGATATGAATGTAGATCACTGTAAAGAGTAGAATAAAAAAGTAATGATACGTGAGAAAGATAGATAGGTTTAAGTTTAGTAATATATACGGTAACGGTATAGGTATATGGTAACATTTTAACAGAGAATTCTCAGCCGGTGAGCATGAGATATGGAAATGTTTGGTTAAGTGAAATCGTAACCCAAGTCCTTTCTTGGCTTTTGTCAACTAAAGTAAATAAATTCTTCAGAAATTCTATAAATAACTATTTGTCATAAATATTTAAAAAATATCACGGAAAAATGCAAGCTGTTCATTAATCTCAGAAATTGTAGGTATATATTGTTGATATTCATGTAAGGCATTTTTAATATAAAACATATAATAGACATTGTAAATTTATTTTTATCAAATCTATGTATAAATAATGCAAATACTGCAGATTATATTTATTGTGGAATGAGAGAAATTGATGTATGCGCTTCTATCATGTGTTGACTGAATCTCTTCATTAATAACTGCATCGGGAGGAAATTGCCGAAATACATACATTACCGCTTTCTGCAATACTGTTCGTGTAATCTCGCAGTATGAGTTATAATCACTTCGAAATTGGAATTATATGAGACGCGGACGAAGTTTCGTTATTAATTAATCATGTTCCTCGCTATTAAATCGCATAAATTCATTCTCCTCTATCGATTACGCTATTCAACAAGGATTTCGCTGCCAAACTAGATTGAGAAACTGAACTTGGTAGAACTTTGTAATTTCATATGATAATTTCTTCTATCAATCTGTTACAATTAAATCACTTTTTAATTGTTTTTGTTATAATATGTTATTGTCACTTTAGGCTGGATTGTTTCATCTTTCGGTAAACTTCACTGTTTTATAGCTAATTCGGTTGAACACATTAGTACACACTAGTGCATATTAAAGCCGTTGTATACTGACTTAGTCTGTGTAAAAGTAAAATATAAATATTTCGGATTATAAAATACAAAATTTACTTAACACCACAATAAAATGTATTAAGAATTTTAAGATTTCGTTTTTATATTTATATTAAATACATATTTTTATATCCATTACGATGGCTTTAATATGCACTAATGCACACTGAGTGTTCCAATCGAATTCGCTATTACTTTCTTACTCTCCTATGTTTTTATTCTTTTACTCTTTCATTCAAAATATATAAATTATCAGTTTATCCGAAGATGAAACCGGTCCTAATTTGCATGTAATTTTAATAAATAAACAATATTTAATATCGATCTTCTATTAATTATTAAAATATCTGAATATGTACTGTATACGAAGTGTATGAAATTTCTTCAAAATAAATTGGAAATTTTTATCAGAGTAAATTTTTTCTCAATCGATATCCATATTTAATAAAACGTTAAAAATCGCGAGCTTGACAGTATTTTTATGTACAAAAAAAGCAATACTAGTTTTATCGAAAGCAATATCAGCAGTGCTCGCAATATTTCATATACAAAGTAATTAGGGTGAACGGGTGGAAGTTGGATCAATTAAATAACGGCAATTCTCATAATTAATGCCGTTTTTTAATATGTCTTTTTGTGCATTTTTTGCCTTCAGTATTCTTGAACATTGGCAGGCAAAACACATGATTCGAGTTTCGACTATATCTTTAACATCAATCGCTTGAATCTAGATGATATTAACAACAAAAAAGAAAAAGAAGAAAAAATAATAAGAACACCGTCGTGACAGAGACAAAGCAGCGAATAAACATGGCGCAAAGTAATCACGCTTCATTTTCATTAGCTCTATTAACGAACCCGTGGCTATGCGCGAGAAATTAGTGCCTTGCAATTTCAATTAAATTCTCTTCACAGCGGTTGCGTTGGAAAATGGTTGAAAGTAAATTACACGGTGCGATACAATTCCAACGATAAATAATACAGTGGCAATTTCCAACGCAAGCGGCAAACTTTCTCTCTCTCTCTCTCTCTCTCTCTCTCTCTCTCTCTCTCTCTCTCTCTCTCTCCCCCTCTCTCTCTTTTTCTCCTCTCTTTCTCTTTTTTTCTCTTTCTCTCTTCTTACAAATATTAGATTTGATATTTGAAATTGAAAATTTGAAAATTTTTGGCAAAATGTTATTAATTATTCGTTATATAAATACAACGTAAATATAGTTTCATAGATTCAAATAAAAAACTAAAAATATTTCTATATATAATTTTCTATGTGTTTTGTGCACTAAAAGAAATACAGTTTACATACTTTTTAAGCAAATTTTATTATATTTCTTTGAAACATTGCACCCTAAAGTAAAATTAGAGAAGTGAACTTTAATAAATTATATTATAATTAAATGCATTAATTATAAATGTGACAGAATTCACAAATTTGACGTAATCTAACTTTTTGTTTCTTTGATGTTTTAAATATAATAAAATAACAATTAAAATAAATTGGAAGAATATATAATAGAAAAAATATTATCCAAATTTAATGACAAAACATTTAGTGATAAAAAGAAATTGCAAATCTGGAAACGCTTTTTCTAGGATAAGTGTAAGAATAAATTATAAAAAACATTCTAATGTACTATGGTACGTACCATGGTAATAACGGTTTTGATGGCTTCCGCAGTGGCTTCCTCGCTCGAAGGCGTTTCGACAAGGGTGCTGCCCAAATATTTGAGGGTGAACCTCGCCTCAGACGTATCCTCAGATTCCTCCCCGTGCGTCGTGCTCGTCGAACCGCCACCCTCCACGCACTCACGGCTGTTCGCCAAAGCCCATTCCTCGCATAGTTCTGAAAGTTAATGCCAAGTGGGATATTCAGACGAAATCGATAGGTGAACAAAACCTATTTCGTGAAGATTGATCGCGGAATAAAAACTTCCTTTAAATCAGCACAAAATTTCTCATGAAATATGTATTTTGCTGTGAATATTACGAAAAGAGAATTAGTTCTAAGGTCTTCAACCCAGAAATTTCGTAAAAACTAAATATTAAATTCGTTTCGTTAAATTTATGGGTCGAAGTAACACAAGGGTTTTTCGAGATTATAGTAAAAGGACGTGAGGGCAAAAATTTGGAAACTTTCGTTCTGTGCAGATAACGAGCCCGACGGTGATAAATGTTGTGGTAAACGGACTGACCAATGTAACATTAGTCCAGGTTCGTGCAACCACATAGCTAGCCTCGTTGTCTGTCTATTTTGTGACAGGAATGGCCGCGCACCTATTGCAATAATAGATATCCGGGTGCACATATATCGTGTGTGTGTGTGTGTGTGTGTGTGTGTGTGTATATGTGTACAATATACATATATATATGTAGATATATGTAAATATATATGTGTATATAATATGTACACGTTGCGATTCTCTCTATTCTGAAATTCGTTGAAATTCTACCATTTCAAAGGTTAAAAATTACGATGGAAAAACATTGATGCAACATTTTGTAAAATTTGATTCGATAATGAGAACAAGAGCTGTTTTAAAAGTTAACAGCAAATTATCTGTCTCAGAGAAAGTTCATGGAAATCAGTTATATCGTTCTCTCTCGACGGAAGTTATAATTATAAAGTGAAATAAAAACTGCACATTGTATGATTCTACGATGAAAAAGTTTTAAAAAATTGCAGGGAGTTATTTATCTCGAAGGAAGTTAATAGGAAGTTAATAGATCCTTTCAACAGAAATTATAAGCGTTATAAAAAAAAAACAAAGAACGATTTTTTATTTGCATGTAATAAAAAAGTAGTCGAAATTTAGAGGAAATTATTTCTCTCAGAAGAAGTTGATGAATATCAATCATTTTATTTCTAAAAGTAATTATAACGCTATAAGATAATACAATATTTTTATGCGTATATTTATATCAAATGATTCTTTTAAACCTCACATTATCACTCTCGTTGCTCTATACATTAAACATAATCCACTTGATTTTTCACAGTACAGAAGTTTAACAAAAAAAAATTTGCGAAATCGCTTTGTCGCTGCGATTCGTTCACACTGCAAGTTTTATGAAACGATATCAATAGTTGTCCACGCGCTATTGCCGGCCTCGCGGAAGTTTGAAAGTTCGCAGGCAGGTCTCTGTGCACCGTTATTGTCGAATGTGAAACTTTACCGCAGAACAATTTTATAAAAGCGACGAAAACTCGTTACTAGTCGAAGCCCGTCATGACGTCTCGATCGAGAAAAGAAAATTCTCGGTCCCACGAGCATCTCCTCGAACGTGTTCTTTTAGGAATGTTAGCGGTTTTGCTGCGACATGTCAAAAGTTATCGTGTATAGCACGATATAGCAATATATGTCCTCTTCGTTCTGATAGTCGCAGATCGACTAGGGAAATAAAAATATCAATGCAATCAAGTTGTCACTTCGTACAATGTATTTTTAAAATAGTTTGCTTCTTTTTTGACTAAAATTCGTATTGAAAATTTTAGATTGTATAATAAAAATTTTATAATAAAAATTCTTTTATTATAAAACTTTATATCTTTTGTATATTTGATTTTAGAAATAGCTATCTAAAAGACTCTACATTTTTTTATTTTTGCTCTGCTACAAGATGCTACAGGAATATCTGTTTATATAAAGACACTTTTTTTATATATAATTTTTCTCTTATCTGTCTTGCGTTTTCTTGTAATAGCATTCTATGAAAAAAAATACAAACAACATTGTACAAAATAATACTAAAATAAAATTAAGTTCGGGGACAATTGTAACAACTGATCTATGTTACTATCGTCTCTTAATGATATTTTATAATTTATAGTAAA